AACAAAAAGAAAGAAAGAAAGAAAGAAAGAAAGAAGTAAAAGAAGCAAAGAGAAAGAAAGACAGAGAGGTAAATGAAACAAAAGAAAGAAAGAAATAATGAAAGGTAAACGAAATAAAGGAATGAATGAATAAAAGAAAGACAGCAAGATAAATGAAACAAATTAAAGAAAAAAGAAAGGATTGTAAGTTAAACAAAATAAAAGAAAGATAAATTGAAACAAAAGAAAGAATTATTAATGAAAAAGAATAAAGAAAGATAAAAAAAAAAAACAGAAAATAAAAAAAGGAATGAAAGGTAAATAAAACCATAAAAATAAATAAATAAAAAACGAAACAAAGGCAAAGGAAAAATGAAAGAAAGAAAAGTAAATTAAATAAAAAAGGAATAACGTGGTATAGATTAATGTAAAAAGTACACGTTTAATCTATAATATAAAGTGAAAAGCCGATTTTATTCTCTCTGACCAGCGGACAGTGTGTTAATTATAGAAGGATGGATACACATAAATGTGTTCATAAATAAAATTTGTTTTTGATTATTTATTGAATTTTTATCGACACAAGAAAAAAAATATTTAAGAAATGCAAATTTATTTCCGTGCTTCCGGAACAAACAATTAACTTCATCGCTAACAACACTTCCTCTTTCTTTTCTTATCTGACAAAATATATAAACAAACATTTTTTTTTTAATTCAAAACTAAATTCTTCGCTAACAACGCTTTTACTTCTGTTTCATTTTCTTATCGGACAAAAAAAAAAAAAAATGAACATTAGTCTGTTGATTTTTTAAAATTCAAAACGAAATTAAAAAAAAAATAACTTGTCTTCTAAAATATAATGTGGAAAGCCGATTTTATTCTGTCTGACCAGCGGACATTGAATTAATTATTGAAGAGTGGATACGCATAAATTAGTTCATAAATAAAATGTGAATAAAATTCCATGTACATGCACCTCATCCCCAAGTTCATCTAGAAGATAGATAGGGGATATATTTTAATCAAAGTAACGCCGCAGATAGAATTGCAAATCCACGATCAACAACTTTGATGGCTTTCTTCACATTGTGTCGAACTGATGATTTTAAAAGAACCCTATCGTATGATGACGTTCCCGAACATGGGACGCTAAAAATAACGTCTTCAAAAGATGAGTACAAGTGATACCAGTTCCAGGATACCAGGCGATACGAAAAGTTAAAGTTTTGGGCAGGGTGTATACAATGAGTCCAAATCAATTTGAACGCTTCTGTTTGAGACTTCTGCATTGTGTTAGAGGACCGCAGAGCTTTAATGACATGCAAAATATCAATGGTTAAGTTCATAACACTTTGCATGTATTGCCCATAGACACCTTGAAGATGATAAGAACTAGAAGGCTACATTACAGGAAGCACCTATATTGGAATCGCCAAGTAAATTGAGCAATTTGTTTGCCATCATGTTGAATCCAGGTCCAATGTCATATCCAAAACGGCTTTGGGATGCACAGAAAGAATCCATGTTCTTCTTCATGAACGCAGCAAATATCCTGGAGTTGATACACAGTTTTCCTATGCCATCTATGGCTCTGATTGATATCGAAGATATCACTTCTCATGTTAATGGCAAATCTCTTACGAATTTGTGTCTTGACTCACCTGTTCGAATTTATACATCTTCTGTCAATAATGCATGGCTGCGTGAAATTAGTTATCAGTCACATCAGCAAGAAGAAATTGTTCATGATGCTCCCGCACTTCTCAATAAGGATCAGATGCACATGTGTGTATTATGCCGTACTTGATTGGGTAAATGTCTAATATTCCTTGATGTACCAAGAGCTACAACAAAGACATTTGTTACTAAGTTGATTATTGCCAAAGTGAGATCAGAAGGCAAAGTAGCTCTGGCCGTAGCTCCCTCTGGTATTGCAGCCACACACTACTTCCTGGTAGTAGAACTCCACATTGACATTTAAATTGCCATTGTTTTTAATCAGGGACGATAATCCAGTTTGCTAAATACACAGTGGTTCAGATTTCAATGTACAATGGAACATAAAAAGCATTTGAAGCTCTAGATAAAAAATTGCGTGATCTCAAAATATATTGATGGGTAACATTACGCTTTTATTATCAGATGACTTCCGAAAAACACTACCAGTGGTTCCACGTAGAAACGCGGCTGACAAACTCAACGTTTGCGTTAAATTATCATATTTGTGGAAGGACATCCAGACAGTAACGTTAAATACTAACATGAGAGCCTATCTTAATAGAGAGCCAATGGCTGGTGAGTTTGCATCTCTACTGCTGAGAATAGGAGATGGCAAGATTGCGAAGAGTGACCGTGGCAACCTTATAATTCATTGAGGATTAGTATCAATTGTTTCTTCAATCGAAGAACTGAGAAACAAGGTGTACTAAAATATAGCAGAAAACTATGTGAATCCTGAATGGCTGAGAGAGGAATTCTAGAACCTAAAACGAATTTTTTTTTTTTTAAGCGTTTCACCCCAAGCAAGGCGGGAAGCCACTAGGACGCAAGGGGTTACAGAAAATTTGGAGCAAGATCAGATAGGAGTGATAGAAGAAAGGATGAGGAGAAGGATAGTGGATAGATCAAGGCAACTGGAGATGTCGATTGACATTACATTTGGATAGTTGGAGATTATAGCTCTCAGGGAAACTGGAATAGGGAAGGGAGCTCCACAGGCGAGAGGTGCGAGACATGAAGCTATTGGAGTAGAAGCGACGGCTACATTTAGGAGTTTCGACAGTGAAAGTGTGAGAGCGGGATGCCAGCCTCATAGGGTGTTTGAATTCATGAAGTCTGGGAACCAGCGAATGCAGCTCCTCGGAGCAATTGCCATGAAAGTATTTGTAAAACAGACAGAGAGAGGCGACGGCGCGTCTGTGAGAAAGTGACTGTAGACGAGGTGCCAGATCAGAGCCAATTATATTGCATATCCGCCTCTGGAGCCTATCAAGAACCCCGAGACAAACAGAAAGGGCTCCAGACCATATATGGCAGCAATACTCCATGCAAGGATTGGTGCATGTTATCAATCAATAACTGCTCAAAGGAATTCCAGGGGAGGAAAAAACTTTCTATTCTGTGGATTCAACTTTGGGTGATGAACAGGCTGTGCAATACTCTACAGAATTTTTAAATTCCTTAGAATTGTCTGGTATGTCAACACACAAGTTAAGCCTAAAAGTTGGATGCCCTATTATATTGCTCCGGAATCTTGATGCTCCAAGATTATGTAATGGAACAAGACTCTGTGTCAAACGCATACAACCTGACGTCATAGAAGTTGTCGTACTAACTGATAGAGCAAAGGAAGAACTGGCTTTCATTCCTAGAATACTTTTATTCCATCAGATTCTACAACTGAATTTAAAGGGCTCCAATTCCAAGTTAGATTTTTTTTTTCGGCATGACTATTAATAAGCCCCCCATGACAATCACCGGTGGTTGTTGACCTTAACCTAACTTCACCTTGCTTTAGCCATGGGAAAGTTTGATGTAAAATGTTCTAGGGTAGGATCAGCAGAATCTCTCTACATCTTAGCACCAGGAGGCATGATATTTGCAGTAATCCCATATGCAATTTAAAAGTGAGTCCAGGAGGAAAATTGGTAACTGATGGGTTCTACTGTTCCCCCAGGAAAAAATAGTTTAGTCTGCTTAACCAAAATTTACCAAATCTTTTTGCTTCCTAAAATCCAACCTCTCCTCCACGTCCTGGGAGTTGGAAACAGGTTAAAGAAGTGGAATTGCTGGGTATGTTCAACATAATTGACACCCGGGCAACGCCGGGTTATCACTGCTAATTTACAAATAAAGAAATTAGATATTTAGAAAGTATGAAAAAAAGAAAAATGTAATGAAAGAGAGATAATCACAAAAAATTAAAAAAAAAGAAAGAGAAGAAAATCTGACAAAGAAAGAAAATGAAAAAGCAAACGAAGAAAGAAAGATAAGTGAACACTTATCAGGAGGAAAGAAGAAAAATAAAGATAAGGAAAAGAAAAATGAAAGGGAATTGAAATAAAAAAAAAAAAAAAAACGAAAGACAATCAGAGGAAAAAAAAAAAAAATGACAGGAAAGCAAACAAAAGAAAAGAGAAAAAGTAACGTGAATATGAAATGAGAAGTTAATGCAAAAAAGAAATAGAAAAAAGAAAAAGCAAAGAAAGATGAAAAAAGAAAATGAATGAGAGAAAGCAAAGAAAGAAGGAAAATCTAAAGAAAGGAAGAATGAAAATCAAAAAGAAAAAAAGAATGGAAATCTAAAAGAAGATAGAATGAAAATCAAAAGGAAAAAATTGAAAAAAACTAAAGAAAGAAAGAATGAAAATCAAAAGGAAAAAAGAATGAAAATCTAAAGAAAGAAAAAATGAAAATCTAAAGAAGGAATGAATGAAAATTTAAAACAAGAAAGAATAAAAATCAAAAGTGAGAAATACTGAAAGAAAAGGAAGAATTTACATCAAAATGACGAAAGAATGAAAATCTGAAGAAAGAAGGAATGAAAATCAAAAAGGAAGAAAATGTGAAAATCCAAAGAAAGAATTAATAAAAATAAAAACAATGAAAATCTAAAAAAAGAAAGAATGAAAACTAAAAGTAAGAAAGAGTTGAAAATTTAAAGAAAAAAAGAATGAAAATCAAAATGATGAAAGAATGAAAATCTAAGGAAAGAAAGAATGAAACGACGACTCGATAAGAAATGATTTCAAATTATTATACTCATGAACAAAAAAATAAAAATGAAAATCAATAAGAAAATTAACATATACATATATATATGTATATATGTATGTATGCATGCGCGCGCGTGTGTGTGCTGTGTGTGTGTGTAAACATAAAACAAAAAATACAAAAAAAAAAAAAAACGCATTTACTTTGACGTTGTCTGACAGGATCTTTCTGATTCAGGAATGTTGACAAAAATTTTGTCTTTCTTTGCCTGCAAAATTTTTATTTATTCTTAGCATATTCCGGCCATGAAAACGCAAATAGATTTCGAAGATCGAATTTCTGGATCTAGGACGTTCCTAAAAGGGCGTGGCCCATCGCCAAGTGAACGTACGGTGAACCATAGATTTAGGAAAAGAATGAAAGCCAGACAAAGAAAGAATGGACAAGAATAGAAGAAATGAAAAGGCAATCCATAGAAATTATGATAAAATTTCAGATCATTGTATTCCTACTTGAGATTCTATTTCCAGTCTGTTTACTTTCTTATCATCCATCCCCCCACTCTTTATCACTGCTCATCTGTCTTTCTCCATTTCTCCTCACCTCTCTTTTTCCGTTTTGTCTTCCCGAATCTATATTTTCATCTCTTTCTCCTCGGCTCTCACTTTCCCTTCATAACATCTAATCTTTCTTCATCTTTCTCTTTTCTCAGCTATCAGTCCTCTTCCTCTCTCCTCTTCTATCTGTTTCGTTTTATCTCTCCTCGCCTTTTTCTCTCTCTTCGTCTCTCCCCGTCTTTGATCATCTCTGCTCGTTCACTTTCCCGTCATCTCTCTTCGTCTACCTTTTACCTATGTCTCTCTCTTCAGCTTTCTTTGCCCTTTGACCTCTCCCCATCTATCATTCCCTCACTCTCAATCTTCTAAGCTCACCCTTTCTCTTCATCTCTCCCCATCTACCTTTCTCAATCTGTTTCTCCTCAACACTCTCCCCAATTGATCTCTTATCATCTATATTTCTCGATAGTTCTCTCGTCAGCTCTCTCTTTCATTCTCATCATCTTTCCCCATATAGCTTTTTCCTCAGCCCCCCTCTCTCTCCCCTCAGATTTTCTCATTCTCGTCATTTCCCTTCATCTATCTTTTACCTATCTATCTATCTCTCTCCTCGGCTCTCTCTTTCTCTCTCCTCATCTATCCTTGTATATCTTTCTCCTCAGTTTTCTCTCCTCGGTGTTTTTATCTTTCCTGTCATCTCTCTTCTACCTTTTACCGATCTCTCTTTCTACTCAGCTCTCTCACTCTCTCTCTCTCTCTCTCTTTCCTTATGTATCTTGTCTCCTCTTCTCTCACAACTCAGATTTTTCTCTTTCCTGTCATCTCTCTTCAACATTTTACCAATCTCATTCTTCCCTCAGCTCTTCTCATATATCTTTCTCCTCAGCACGATCTCTCTCTCTCTCTCTCTCTCCTCAACTTTTTCTCTTTCTCGTCACATCTACCTTTTACCAATCTCTCTCCTTCCTTAGCTCTCTCTCTCTCTCTCTCTGTCTTCTCATATATCTTTCACTTCAGCTGTCTCTCCTCAGTTTTTCTCTTTCCCGTCATCTCTTTTCATACACTTTTTACCATTCTCTCTCGTCAGCTCTCTCTCTCTTTCTATCTCTCTCTCAACTCATCTATCCTCATATATCTTTTTCCTCAGTCCCCTTTCGTCAGTTTTTTCCTCTTTCTCGTAATCTCTCTTCATCTATATTTAAATCTCTCCCTCTTTCTCTCAGCTCTCTCCACATTTCTTCTCATATATCTTGTTACGTAGGCATATGTATATTTATTAATATATACTTCTGAGCGCTGTCTAACCACATTGGGCACTGTTTTGTTTACAACTTAAATTAAGTAAATATCTAATTATATATATATATATATATATATATATATATATATATATATATATATATATATATGTTAGATTGCTCGTGGCCCGTTGGGTCACTAGCGACGCAGGTTATAAAACATTGAAGTTGATTTCAACATCCCATTGAAATGAAAGTTATTTTTATGATTTCGTTAAATATTTCAATTCGTTCGCGTGATCATTGGTCGGGTTTACAAGTTCATGTTTAACGTTTGTTTACAGCATTTCATCAGAATTGAATTTCGTGATAAAATTGAACTTTAAATCAGTTTAACTTAAAAATATATGTTTAATATGCCAAAAATGTTTTAAAATCATATTCACTAGAAATTTTTTTTTTTTAAATATGGCAAAAAATATGATGTAAATATTTAAAACATTGTTTAAAGAAAGCTGAAATCTAAATAATTACTCTACAAACAACTGGACAAAACAGCTAAGCGGGATCTCTTTGTGTCTGTCTTTAACTTAAAAATATTATAATGAAAAAATTGCCTGTTTGGAGAAAGATAAAATAAAAATACTTACTGTATAAACAACTCGTAAATCATTGTGCGCCGGAAGGACGCTCTACACAACCACGCACGCACGCATACACGCAATCACAGGCTTTTTAGTATTATATATATATATATATATATATATATATATATATATATATATATATACACACACACACACAGACATATATATATATTATGAATATAAGAAATGAGATTAAAAGGTATAATTTATATCTATCACCTTACATTAACTTAATACTACCCCTCAAAAGTGTAAAAATTATATTTGAATTTAAATTCATTTTTTCATCCTTGGCATCAAGGTCTGATGATCCAGGGAAAAAGAACCTCCCTGGGGAAATAAATTATAACCATTAACCATTAAAGTATTATTGTCTGTTTTCATTAAATTAAATTATACACACACACACACACACACACACACACACACACACACACACACACACACACACACGCACCTATATATCTGTGTGTGTCTGTGTGTGAGCATGTGTGTCTTTGAAATTACAGATATAACTGGACAATATGAATAAAGACAAAAAGAAAACTTATCTCTAATTGAGAAACGTCAAATGAAATTGAAGGATTTTATTTTGCAACACGTATTTTTTGGTGGGAGTTAAAGTATATGTGGTCATTAATATTTGTTGCCTTTCGATATCCAACTAAAGTTTTATTAAAAACCAACAAGTATTTTTATTTTATCGAGTTCACCCCCCTAATGCAAATCAGGAGATTCGCTATGATACAAGGGGTTAATCGGTGTGGAAGAATTAGAAACAAAAAAATTACCAATGATCGGGAGCTAAAAGAGTAATCAGAAAGACAGTAGATAGCGATTGATATTGCATTTAAACTTTTGAAGGGTAAAGTTGACTTGAAAGCATGGAATCGGAAGGAAGTTCCACAAGTGAGAAGTGCGAGAAAAGAAACTGTTAGCATAGAGTTTACGGTTACATCTAGCCATATATAAACAAAAGTAAAAATGTTGTTTTTCAATTTTTTTAAATTCAAGAAACGCTCATATTCATTAGACTAATTGAAAAAAGTCTGTAAATTATGGGAGATGCTAAATGAAATAATGTAATAAAAACAGTGAGTAACGGATGCTGTTTTTGAATTTCTTTCATAGAGTAATTAACGGTTAAATTCATAACCTTATTTTACTTAAAATATTTAATACATAATTAATCCCAAACTATAATATAATTAATAAAATTAAAAAAAAATCATTTAATCCCTCTTTTTTTCATTAAATTATGTCATTTAAAATATTCCATAATTATCCTAGAATATTTATGTTCGTTTCTTAAATTTAAAAATTTAGCAGAATTAACATTTTTACTTTTCTTTGTAAATACTTATTGCAAAATGAAAATTTTACATTTACCTTGATAAAGTCCATCAGGGGCGAAACGAATTTGGCTAAGAAAAGTTTTCATTTTGTCTTTATATATATATATATATATATATATATAATTTGTTTTTGAATATTACCATCGCGACATCGAAATTCCCATGTTTCAAAACTGAAACTTCAATTCAAATTTAATCATATGTGTTGGAACATAGACACTACCACAAATTTCTACATAAAAAAAAAGTTTGTGCCAATTGACAGATACACCAGACCTTAAAAAGACCTTGAAAGACCGACTTGATAGCTACAATACATTAGATACATGAGTTTTCAAAATAAGTTAAATCTCATCACTCCTAAAATAAAAAAAAAGATTGAATTTTCCTTAACCCCAACATTTCAAAATATCAAATTTGTTTGGACTTATTAAGTAAATCAGTTTCTAAAAAAGTTTTCTTAGAATCGCTTGATAATGGAACGGAACTTTGTATTTTATGTTTAATTTTTATGATTAAATTTGAATTGAAGTTTCAGTTTTAAGACATGGGAATTTCGATGTCGGGATGGTAATATACTAAAAATATTACAATATTATTCTCTACTGTTGTGTCTAGCACTGATTTTTAAAACTAAAAATAAATGCTAAGAATTCTCAATTATAAATCTAATTGTTCTTTCCTACTATTCAAATATATATATATATATATATATATATATATATATATATACACTGCGTGCCAAATTATTATCGAGAAAACTTTTTTTCTAATATTTCCAAAACCGATATATCAATTAACACAAAATTTTCACACAATGTCGGCAACACTGACCTGCGCAATCACTGCAATTTTCATACTGATCTGCGCAATGTAAATAAACTGGTGCCATATTTGTTAACAGCACGGTGATTTGCGCGTGCCAAATTATTAGAAAAGTATAAGAATTTAGTGAAAAGTTGGGCCGTAAAAGCAGTTTAAGTGATGCTGAAAAGAAAACTATTACCTCAGAACTCTCAAAAAGTAAATCTACCCTAGAAATTTTTGAAATGAAAGGGAAGTGTCATCAAACAATGAAAAATTCACCGCCGACCCTACACAAGTACGCAAAAGGGCATATAAAGGCAAGCCGAGGGTTATTTCACGTCGTCTCATGTTACGACTTAAACGAGAGGCCACAAAGAACCCTGGACTTACCAGATCAGTACGAAAATTTCAGTGATTGCGCAGTTCAAAGTTGCCAACATTGTGTGAAAATTTTGTGGGAATTGATTGATTTGTTTTTGAAATATTAGAAAAAAGTTATCTCGATAATAATTTGGCACGCAGTATATATATATATATATATATATATATATATATATATATATATATATATATATTATTCTTTTAATCTCACTTCTTTTCTGTATTTTCATCTCAATTCCAGATCTGTATCTCCCTAATTTGTATTTTCCCAATTCTCACTCTCGTGTGATATTATTTAACTCCCTTCCTCTCTCTCTCCCTCTATCTCTGTCTCTCTCATTGCCCACTTCCTTACACTTGTCTCTGCCTCCCAAAATCTCTCGATAATTCTTTTCCCCGATTTTTCTCCTCTCGCCTCCTTCGATCATCATTTGTTATCTCTCCACTCATAAACCCTTTACAATCTCTAGCTCTCTCGCTTTTTCTCATCTAATTTCTCTTCCATCATCTCTCACTTCCCCATTCTCTCTCCCTCACGCCACCTCTCCTCTCTCTCTCTCTCTCTCTCTCTCTCTCTATATATATATATATATATATATATATATATATATAATATAGTACATTAAGTACTGTTTTTAATAAATTAGTAGTCGATGTAGCTTACGATTAATTTATATGTTAATGATAAAGATATTTTTCTCACCAGTAGCCCAACTCTGAATTTCAGGCACAAAGATATCTATCTATCTATCTATCTATCTATCTATCTATCTATCTATCTATCTATCTATACAGACACGCACACAGACACACGCACACATACATATATATGTATATATATACATATACATACAGATACACACACGCAGGCACATACACACACATATATATATATATATATATATATATATATATATATATATATATATATATATATATATATTATTCCCTTGAAACGCCAGGTTGATTTAAGCGTTGTGAATGAATTGATTAGACGAAAGTGTTTTGAAACCTGTCGAAGGTTCTGCTAGCACGAATTCACAAGCCATTGTGGCCGAGCGGGTGAACGTATGATTTTTATTATACCGACTGATCAAGCCAGGTTATGGGCTCTCTCTCTCTCCCCCGCAAACTATGATTAAGTTTCGCTCAGAATAATTGCAGTATAAACCACAGTTTTATACGAATTATTTTATAATATGTGTTGATATATCAGTAAGTAATGACTGCCTACACGTGTTCGAGTACCCTCACCTACTCGGCTCACTTGCTAATGCCTGTTGCAAACACAGATCTACGCGGTAAGTTGTTTGCAACAGGGATTACCTTGCGTCACGAGTGAGCAGTCAACATTTATTTGACTTATCGTCATACATTATTTTCTTAGACGCTATAAATTTGACTTGGAGATGGACGGTCTACAGCCGATCTGCTTTCTCAAGACACACTATACAGGAATGAATACCGCTTCAACTGTCAACCCAAATATTGGCACGACGTCGAGATATACCAAGTGTAACAACAAAATTGTCTAAATCGTGTAACAGCAAATTTGTCCATTTATTAGATTAAGATTTGAACCGTTGTAAATGATTAAATGTATCTTACTGGAATTCTCCTAGTTTTTTTTTTTATAACACTAACACTTTGAACAATAAGAATGTATTTATATCTTAGTTGAAATAAAGATCCTTCTTGCTGTTTTGACCTCCTGATCCAATTTCCTCTCTACTTTTCCCTCTTTTTTAAACTTATTCACCGTTCTCTTGATCATTCTTGAATGGACTTTGGCCAGAGTATGAATGTTGATATCATTACTGAAGGCCTGAATGATCTTTTTCCTCTCACCATTGCTCTGTTGGGAAGATATAGTGGGGCTGGCAGAAAACCATTTTAACCTGTCCTCTTTCTAGCTGAATAACTCGAAAGGTTTTTCAGTGATTTTTATAACAAATGGTGTCAAGATGGCTAAACGTCTTATCTAAAAACCTGAAAAAAGAAACTTCAATTAGTTTAATGGTTTTTTAGATATTAAAAATTTTGTGGGATGGACACTTATGGCATACTGCTACACAATTTGAACAATTTTACTTTTACACCGGAAATGTATGAAGCTGGTTCAGGTGATCAAATGCGTATTACTCCTACGACCACGTCAGGTCATAGGACTGATGTTGATGATAAAAACTTCTAAATGAAACCTTTCTCTTTATCTACAAGATATGGTGGTATTAGTGAAGGGAATGCTTAATGCCTTTGTCAACTGTATTTGTGCGAAAGTAAATGCAATTATGCGGAAATTTGAACTCAGACCGCCGATATCATTTTCTACGCCGATCACTGTTACACCACCCGCACAAAGAATTATATAGGTTTAACCTAGTCTAGAAGAAAACCACCTGCGAGGTTTGAACTCGCTATACGAGTAATGTTCTGCAGAGCGCGTCTGTTGACTGGTACTGTATTTTCTGGTACCGTCAAGGTTATGTCTGCAAATTATTTTTCGGAGAACTTTCACGTTGAAAAAAAAGAAGCAGATAGAATTGGCACCAAAGAATTAGCAGAAAAAATAATTTAAAAATTGCTCGATGTTTAAATACAGACATGAATAAGAACTTAACCAGTTCATGTACTGAAAATATTTGTTTAGCTGCTTTTTCACTCCCAGAATTAAGGCACGAAGCTATCTGGGAAAATTTTTTTCTCTACCATTTATTCTTTCACTATGTACGCTGAAGGTTTTCTTCTTCTCTTTCATTATTTCAAATCTCATCATTTTCTTTCTTTTTCTATTCTATTTTCACTTATGCGTTTACCTTTTCTTTTTTTACGATATTTTTCTTTCTTTCTTTTTTCTATTCCCTGCATCTATTTTCTTTCTTTTGCAATCTTCCCTTCACTCCATCCATCTCTCTCTCTCTCTCTTTTTCTTTCTTTCTTTCTTTCTTTCTTTCTTTTTTCTTTCTATTTCTCTTTTATCTCTTCATTTTCTTTTCTTGCTTTCGTGATTTGATTTTTTCTACTTTTTATTTGCGAACTTTTTCCTTTTGTTTGCGAACTTTTTCTTTCTTTTTCTTCTTCTGTTAATTCCGTAAACATTTCTTTTCTCCAGTTCTTTCTTTCTTTCTTTCTTTCTTTCTTTCTTTCTTTCTTTCTTTCTTTCTTTCTTCACAACTCTGTTCTTATTTCTTTCTTTCTTTCTTTCTTTCTTTCTTTCTTTCTTTCTTTCTTTCTTTCTTTCTTTCATCACAACTCTGTTCTTATTTCTTTCTTTCTTTCTTTCTTTCTTCACAACTCTGTTCTTCTTTCTTTCTTTCTTTCTTTCTTTCTTTCTTTCTTTCTTCACAACTCTGTTCTTCTTTCTTTCTTTCTATTTCCTTTTACCTTTTCGCTTTCTTTTCAGATCTTTTCTCTTTTTCATTGTTTGCTTCGTTTTACTTTTCATTCACCTCTTCTCTTTATCTGCAATTTTTTTCTGTTTCTTTCTTTCTTTCTTTCTTCCTTTCTTTCTTCAACTCTTTTCTCTTCCTACTTTCCTTTTACTCTGCTTTTTCACTGTTTGTCTTTTCCATTTCTTTCTTTTCTCCCTTTTTTCCTTTCCATCTGACATTAAACGTTTCATTTCAATCACTCGTTCATTACACCCTCCCGTTTCCTTCCGTTTTCTGCCTTACAATTCTAAATATAAGTTGCATTAAAGAAAAAAAAAGCCAAAACAACCAATCCAATCTTACTATCATCCCCAATCTTCTTTAATTTAACAGAAAAAATTAATAAATCCTACTTTTACTTTCACTTTCCCTCTTGTATTGTGTCTATCAAATTTCACTGATTTGCGACAACACATCTGTTTCTTCATTTCTAGCGTGAAGAAAACCCCACCCCTTTACCAAAAAAAAAAAAATGGCAAAAATTTTAAAATTTATCGTCAACCATTGTGACACAAGTCCTAACTTCCTTTACCCCTTCAACGCCGAAGTCAAAGAAAACTATAAATCGAAAGTAAATTTTAAAATAAAAAGGCAATGTATTGTTGCGTGTTGCCGCCATGATTTTCAACGCCACTGATGGTATTAAACTCACTGATGTTTTCAACGTCAAACACTGTTCGGGATCGTTTAAAAACCGCTGTGGTGCTGTTGACATCATTTCTTTTCTTTTCTTGTTTATGTTTTTTCGATCATTGTTTCATTTTCTGTTTTAATGTGTTTTGGCGGGGCGGTTGGGGAGAGGAAGGGATGCTCAAGATAAAGTCGGCTCTCGCGATCCACAAGATATAAGATCTATTCTGCACACTTCAAGCTACTTTTATTGATTTCCTTACTTCTTTTCCTTTTTTTTTTCTTTATTTCATATATTCCGTCAATTCTGTAAGAGTTTATTCTTTCTTTCTTTTTTCTTTCTTTCTTTTTTCTTTTTTTTCTTTTTTCTTTGTTTCTTTGCTTATTTCTTTGTTTCTTTCTTTGTCATTTAGTGTCATTTAGTAGATTTTTTCATTTTCTTTGATATTTTATCCATTTCTTCCTTCTTTCTTTCTATTTTTCTTATATATCTTCCCCCAAATCCATAACTATTTCTTGTCTCCAGTTTTTCTTTTTTCTTTCTTTCTTTCTTTCTTTCTTTCTTTCTTCAGTTCCATAATCATTTGGTTTCTCCCATTCTTTCTTTCTTTCTTTCTTTCTTTCTTTCTTTCTTTCGTCAGTTCCGTAATATTTGTTTTTCCCCGTTCTTTCTTTCTTTCTTTCTTTCTTTCTTTCTTTCTTTCTTTCTTTCTTTCGTCAGTTCCATAATCATTTGGTTTCTCCCATTCTTTCTTTCTTCTTTCTTTCTTTCGTCAGTTCCGTAATATTTGTTTTTCCCTTTGTTCTTTTTTTTCTTTCTTTCTTTCTTTCTTTTTTCTTTTTTTTCGTCAGTTCCATAATCATTTGGTTTCTCCCATTCTTTTCTTTTCTTTCTTTCTTTCTTTTTCTTTCGTCAGTTCCGTAATATTTGTTTTTTCCCCGTTTTTTTTTTTCTTTCTTTCTTTCTTTCTTTCTTTTCTTTCGTCAGTTCCATAATCATTTGGTTTCTCCCATTCTTTTTCTTTTTTCTTTTTCTTTCTTTCGTCAGTTCCGTAATATTTGTTTTTCCCCGTTCTTTTTTTTTTTTTCTTTTCTTTTCTTTTCTTTCTTTCGTCAGTTCCATAATCATTTGGTTTCTCCCATTTCTTTTTTTTCTTTCTTTCTTTCTTTCTTTTTTTTTTCTTTCTTTTCTTTCTTTCTTTCTTTTTTCTTTCTTTTCTTTCTTTTCGTCAGTTCCGTAATCATTTGTTTTTCCCATTCTTTCTTTCTTTCTTTCTTTCTTTCTTCTTTTTTCTTTCTTTCTTTTTTCTTTCTTTTCTTTCTTTCTTTCTTTCTTTCTTTCGTCAGTTCCATAATCATTTGGTTTCTCCCATTTTTCTTTTCTTTTCTCATTTTCTTTTCTTTCGTCAGTTCCGTAATATTTGTTTTTTCCCCGTTCTTTTCTTTCTTTCTTTCTTTCTTTCTTTCGTCAGTTCCATAATCATTTGGTTTTCCCATTCTTTCGTTTTTCTTTCTTTTCTTTCTTTCTTTTTTTATCAGTTCCGTAATATTATTTTTTTTCCCATTCTTTCTTTTCTTTCTTTTTTTTTTCTTTTCTTTCTTTCTTTCTTTCGTCAGTTCCATAATCATTTGGTTTCTCCCATTCTTTCTTTCTTTTTTTCTTTCTTTCTTTCTTTCGTCAGTTCCGTAATATTTGTTTTTCCGTTATTCTTTCTTTTTTCTTTTCTTTCTTTCTTTCTTTCTTTTTTTTTCTTTCTTTCTTTTCGTCAGTTCCATAATCATTTGGTTTCTCCCATTCTTTCTTTTCTTTTCTTTCTTTCTTTCTTTCTTTTCGTCAGTTTCTAATATTTGTTTTTCCCGTTCTTTTTTTTCTTTTTTCTTTCTTTCTTTCTTTCTTTCTTTCTTTCGTCAGTTCCATAATCATTTGGTTTCTCCCATTCTTTCTTTCTTTCTTTCTTTCTTTCTTTCGTCAGTTCCGTAATATTTGTTTTTCCCCGTTCTTTCTTTCTTTCTTTCTTTCTTTCTTTCTTTCTTTCGTCAGTTCCATAATCATTTGGTTTCTCCCATTCTTTCTTTCTTTCTTCTTTCTTTCTTTCTTTCTTTCGTCAGTTCCGTAATATTTGTTTTTCCCCTTTTCTTTCTTTCTTTTTTCTTTTTTTTTCTTTTTTCTTTCTTTCTTTCTTTCTTTCGTCAGTTCCATAATCATTTGGTTTCTCCCATTCTTTCTTTCTTTCTTTCTTTCTTTCTTTCTTTCTTTCTTTCTTTCTTTCTTTCTTTCTTTCATCAGTTCCGTAATATTTGTTTTTCCCCGTTCTTTCTTTCTTTCTTTCTTTCTTTCTTTCTTTCTTTCTTTCTTTTTGTCAGTTCCGTAATATTTGTTTTTCCCCGTTCTTTCTTTCTTTCTTTCATTCATTTTTCTTTCTTTCTTTCTTTTCTTTCTTTTCTTTTTCTTTCTTTTTTCTCTTTCCGTAATATTTGTTTTCCCCTTTCTTTCTTTTTTTCTTTCTTTTTTCTTTCTTTCTTTCTTTCTTTCTTTTCTTTCTTTTTTTTTCTTTCGTCAGTTCTTTAATCATTTCTTTTTTCCCCCGTTCTTTCTTTCTTTCTTTCTTTCTTTCTTTCTTTCTTTCTTTCTTTCATCAGTTCCGTAATATTTTTTTTTCCCCGTTCTTTCTTTCTTTCTTTCTTTCTTTCTTTCTTTCTTTCTTTCTTTCTTTCTTTCTTCAGTTCCATAATCATTTGGTTTTTTCTCCCTTTCTTTCTTTCTTTTTCTTTCTTTCTTTCTTTTCTTTTGTTTTTTCTTCTTTCTTTCTTTCTTTCTTTTTCTTTTTCTTTGTTCAGTTCCGTAATATTTGTTTTTCCCCGTTCTTTTTTCTTTTCTTTCTTTCTTTTTTCTTTCTTTCTTTCATCAGTTCCGTAATATTTGTTTTTTTTTTTTTTCTTTCTTTCTTTCTTTCTTTTTTCTTTCAGTTTAATAATATTTGTTTTTTTTTTTCTTTCTTTTTTTTGTCAGTTCCGTAATATTTGTTTTTCCTTTGTTCTTTCTTTCTTTCTTTCTTTCTTTTCTTTCTTTTCTTTCTTTCTTTCTTTTTCTTTCCTTTTTTTCATTTCGTCAGTTATTTAATATTTTTTTTCTTTTCGTAATATTTGTTTTTTCTTTCTTTTCTTTTCTTTTCTTTCTTTCTTTCTTTCAGTTCCGTAATATTTGTTTTTCCCCGTTCTTTCTTTCTTTCTTTCTTTCTTTCTTTCGTCAGTTCCGTAATATTTGTTTTTCCCCGTTCTTTCTTTCTTTCTTTCTTTCTTTCTTTCTTTCTTTCTTTCTTTCTTTCTTCAGTTCCATAATCATTTGGTTTCTCCCATTCTTTCTTTCTTTTTCTTTCTTTCTTTCTTTCTTTCTTTCTTTCTTTCTTTCATCAGTTCCGTAATATTTGTTTTTCCCCGTTCTTTCTTTCTTTCTTTCTTTCTTTCTTTCTTTCTTTCTTTCTTCGTAACTTACCATTTCACTTTTTTTCCTATGTCATTTTATCAGTGTTCTTCACACTCTTTCTGTTTTTCACCTTTCTTTCTTGCTTTATCCGATGTCACATTTTCACTTTCTATTTTTTATTAGCTAATTCATTTTCCTTCCTCCCACTCACCCGTCCACTCTTCCACCCTTCCTTCCTTTCTTTCTTCCTGCCAACCCGCCTGCGCCATTATTCGTGTTTCTGTTATTCTTTTATTTATTTTTTTTTAATCAGCATCACCCCCAAGCAAAGTAGTAGAGCCACTAACACGCAAGAGGTAACAGGGTGTGGAGGAATTACGAAGAGAAACATTAATAATGAGCAGGAAGAGAAAAGAGTAATCGGGTGGACAGTAGATAGCGATTGACATTGCATTTAAATTTTTGCAGATTAAAGATGGCTGGGAAGCATGGAGCCAGATAGGAGTTCCACAAACAAGAAGTATGAGAAAAGAAACTTTCAACATAGAACTTACGGCTACATTTAGCCGACTCAACTGTAAATTGATGAGATCTAGACGCCGGTCTAGTGTTGCGCTTAAATTCATAAAGGTACCAAAGCGAAAGGCTCATCTGAATAATTACGATGAAAGTAATTTTTAAAATAGGCAGAGAGAAGCAACTTTACGGCAGTTGGAAAAGTGACTGAAGCCGAGCTGTCAGATCAGCGCCAATAATATTGCTGATTCTTTTTTGTATCTTATGAAGGATCTCAAGGTAAATAACAGAGACACCGGGCCATATGTGGCTGATAAAACACTATATGTCTACGACTACATATGCAATACACAATAGAAAACAAATATGGCCTCTTACCAAAACTGGAACCCGAAAAAAGATTCCGTTTCCTTCCACCCAAATAAAACATTTAATACGTCATTTTTAAAGTGAGTACCCACACTAGTTTATCTATGGATATGTTAAAAATTATCGAATTTTATCACTTTAGGCATATTTCAAGAACCTAGATAATTAAAGCGTTGTTTCGTAAATTTGGTAGCATAGAAATTGTGAGTTCAATCCTTAGGCTGGGTAGTACAGGCTCAGTGGAGAAATATACCATAATATTCCTTGCACCAAAACAACACATTCTTACTTACCATTCTTACTACATCTACCATAATACCTCAGAATCTCCATGAAGTCCTTACTCGTCCCCATATATACAATTCATGTCTGGGGGCGGGGGGATAAAACAACCATTTAAAAATCTCAACTCCCAAATGTGTATTTACAATATGAGATAAGCGAAAAACTCATCCGAATAATTACGATGAAAGTATTTATAAAATAGGCACAGAGAGGCAACTTTACGGCAGTTGGAAAAGTGACTGAAGCCGAGTGGCCAGATCAGGACCAATAATATTGCTGATTCTTCTTTGAATCTTATCAAGGAACTCCAGGAAATTATCAGGAACACGGAACTATATATGGCAGCAATATTTTAAGCATGGACGAATGGTAAACTTATAGACATGTAAGAAAAATTGTCTCGTATGACACAGTGAACCGACTTTCTTAGCAGCTGACCTAACAATAAATTCAATATAGTCTTTCCACTTCATGATAGCCGAGAACTTTAGCCTAAGATGGCACAAAGGGTTACTTTACTGGAGGTTAGCATCAGCCATATCGATGGAAAACAGAGAGGGGGTCTCTCAGATGATTAATATAGAGAGAAGTTTACTTTTGGTGGCGTTAAAATTGACAAGACATTTTTTGCCCCATTTAACGACGGTCTTGTGGTCATTTTGGACACCGGCTGCCATTTTGATCTTGTCGGATTGATCAGCTTTACTATTGAGGCAGGAGTAAATGGTAGTGTCGTCAGGGTAGATGACAAGTTGAGAGCTGATGTCATCGGTTAGGTCATTAAGGAAGATTAGAAATGGCGTAGGACCAAGGATGTAGCCCAGGGAGTCACCTGCGTTAATACGAAATGATGTAGATAAGTGGCCGTTCAGGATAATTTTCATTTCACGATTTGATAGAAACGACTGGTTTAATTTTACTTCACATTATTTAGCTAAAAAATTGCTTATTAATCTTTTCAAACAACCCTTTTAAATCTATCTATCTATCTATCTATGTCTCTTTTTATCTATCTATCTATCTATCTATCTATCTATCTTTCTATCTATCTTACTTTAGTAGTATTTATCCCTTACTACATAAAAAATAATAAACCTTTGGGGGAAGACGAAGAAAGTAAAACAAACAGTAAATAAATAAAATATGTCATTAGAGAAGAACAAAAGAAAATAAAATATCAAACACAGTTAAATTTATAAACATTTTCCTACTTGTTATTTATTAAATGATTCTATCAGATTTAATCCATAGTTTCACCTTGCGTCTTCGTGGCCTTAATGCATATACATATATATATATATATATATATATATATATATATATATATATATATATATATATATATATATATATATTTGTTTGTATGTGTGTGTGTATGTGATGGGTGTTAAACGAGCATAATCATTACTGACATTGTAACATAATTTGTTACTATTGCTCATGAGACCAGCAGTGACATTCGCAAAGGAATGATATATATATATGTGTGTGTATATTAATAAATGGAGTAAGTCGGCAATTATTTTAATATATTTTTTTTATATATATATATATATATATATATATATATTGCGTATATTTTGTCAGCAGGTTTTCATTGAGACATGTTTTATTGAATACGTTAGACAAATTTTGTCTACTCATTTTCATTTCATTCCATTTTGGTGTCATTATTAAATGAAGAGAGAAAATCGTTGTGTTGATACTTTTTGTTTATTCCGAGTACTTTCGGCATACCACAATGTCATCATCAGAGTGTTGTTTATTTCAAGACACATATTTTAGTGTTCATTATTTTGAAAGACAAAATTGCTGTCTTCATCAGAAATTTAAATTTTTTACTTGGGAAGTGACGAACGCTGAGTGAGTACGTGATCCCTTGACTACCGCTTCAGGGGAAGTAACTAAGTATAGTGTGTTGAGAGTTTTTAAGAAATGAGTATTAAACTATTAGTACAAGCCTTGATATTTTAAACAATCTATTGTACACATTTTACAGCATTTGCGCAGTATCCATAATTAATTTTATTATGGTTTGGTTCCAATTTTTTAATACAGATAGCTTCGAAGATTTTTAATTTATGTTTATTATTTTCATGAAAAAGTATAGATGTATTTTCAACAAAATTTTTCTGAATTGCAAATATAGATTTTACTGGGTTTTAAAGGCACAGCAAAAAATTGTGCCTTTAAAACTTAGTAATTTTAAAAATAAGTTACTCCAAAATTCGCTTGAGGATGAAATGGAACTAATGTCTTTAATTTAATTACAAAATTAAATTCGAAGCTTTTAGCTTCCATTTTTGAAACATGGTTACAACTGTGTAGCGAAAAAAAACATATTTTAAAACAATTAATTTATATATATATATATCATTATTAAGTAATTCCTCGAAGATACCTTAACAGAATGCAGAAAGCACTGGACGGCCGTTTCCTTCTATATTTGGGAGGAATCAGCAGTGCATATTCACTACTGAGAATTGAAACCCGAACAGTTACAATAGGAGAAAAACACCTTACCAACTGTACCAAAGGGCCTCGGTGATGAAGAGGTAACGAATTAGACTCGATATAGCGCCGCTAGATCACATATTCCGTGGTGGAACTCATCTGAGTTTCTCTTTTACACACAGGACTGTGCCCCCACGAGCCACGAGTACTATCTCCAACCCGCTCCGCCCAGAGCATTAGAAGCCTGTTCAATCAAGGATATACACATAGAAATAATTAGGAAGATTTGAAATGATCATAATTAAGTACTTATTCGAGTCTAGAAGAAACCTCATCGGAATCCCGAAAGCACTGGACGGCCGTTTCGTCCTATATTTGGGACTCATCAGCAGTGCGCATCCACTACCGAGAACTGATATATCAAATCTGATTCTTTACCTCTTCTTCACCGAGGCCCGCTGGTACAGTTGGTATGGCGTTTGCTTCTTATCGTAACTGTTCGGGTCTCAATTCTGGGTAGTGGTCCCAAATGTCAGATGAAACGGCCGTCCAGTGCTTTCTGCATTCTGTTGAGGTTTCTTCGAGACTCGATGAATTACTTAATTATGATTATTTCAAATCCTCTTAAATTATATATATATACAAAGAAATCATCACGCAGAGAATCAATCAGCAATATTAATCCTATTGCTGATTGATTCTATGCGTGATTATTTCTTTGTATATAAAATATATGCTGTCTAATGTTTTATTTATATATATATATATATATATAAGTTTAGCACTTTATTACACTATAAGCTCATTTAATTTTGAGAATCAAATGAAGACAACGCGTAGGAATACATTTGATTTAATTGATGTTAAGGAGAGCATGTCTTGTCAAGAGTGAGTAATAATTAGATGACTATGGTTTTACAGATGCCAGTCTATAACATAAAGTCTGAAGATCTCTTGAAGTGCAAAACTAACTGTTTTCATGCTTATATTCCTTACAATATTGGAAAACTTGCAGAAATTAAAAAAAGGAATGTATCTATGAACACAATTAGCATCTTATACACGACAATTTATCAAATGCGTTATTCATACATAGAGAGAAATTCAACCACATCTTTAATCTAAAGAATGCCACATTTATTAAAAAAAAAAGGAAATTACAGACAAACCTCTCATCTACGGACACCTCCATCAACGGACTTGGCATTCAATGGACAAAATCTGCAGGAAAAAAAAATGAAGGAAAAAAAACTTCCAAAATGTCTGTGATGTATTTTAAAATTTGCGGACTTAGGAAAATGAGTCGTATTCGTTATCAATGTAACCGCTTGGCGGCAATGGCGGGCCTTTCAATTGTAAACAAGACGGGTGTACAGTATATAAAGTACGATACATTGGCGCGTGAGTGAGAAAATAGCACTGAAAAATCTATTATTTTTATTATTTTGCTTAATATCTATATTAAGTATATAGCTATTTATTCCATATATACTTGTTTATAGTATTTACATGATGATCATAACTATTCGTAATCACTGTGGTGGTTTTATAACTAAAAAATAATCCCTTCCCATCTATAGGCAATCAGCTTTAACGGACCCCTAACGCACCCACCGTTGATGAGGAGTTTGTCTGTACTTAGATTATCGAATGTTAGTAAAATATAAATTTGCGCACTGGACTTTTTCAAATATCTCATTTCCTAAAAGAA